AAAAAAAAAAAAAAACCAAAAAAAAAAAAAAAAAAAACCCTTTCCAAAAAAAAAAAAAAAAAAAAAAGAATGCCTGCATGAGATCTAAACACTGCACAGCCGTAAAATATGATGCGCAGCAAGGCTGACCCCCATGGAGGTCCACAGTTCAGGTTGAAGACCACCCTGAGAGTGCTGGGTACACATGCAATGCCTGGAACTAGAGGTAGATTGCAACATCAAGAACTGTTGGGGAATAAACTTTTAAAGTTTATTACAAAAAAATTTTATATGTTTAGATTGTTGGACAGCCTTTGGTTCCTCTGCACTCTGGGAGAAGATGACCTCACAGCAAAGAACTCTGACTCAGTTGTTGTCATGCTCCACTAGGAAAGAAGAGAGCAAAGGCAAGTGCGTGCACTGCCTTGGAACCAGGTTTCCCAGGGTCTGTAAATCAATCAAAGTAGTAGAGAGAGAAGTTGAGATTGTTTTGACACACACCTAGGACCCCAAACACCTCATCGTCTCACTTCCTTTCACTTCACCTCCACCATCCCGAGAAGGAGACAGGCACATGGCAAGTGTGTATACTTGAGCCTTCACCTCCAGCCTTTGCTTCAATCATAGGAGTGTGAACGTTGTTGGCAGCAGTAGGGTTGGGTAGGATAGAATAGGTGTGGGAGAGAGCTCAAAGGAAGTCTTCTAGAACTTGGAGAGGGATTTAATATGAGAGAACAGGAAGAGCATTACATCAAGGAAGACTGATTTTTTTTAAAGAGGTTTTTCACTATAGGGCGCATGCGCTCACCAGACAGAGAGAGACAGAGAGACAGAAAGCGAGAAATCACCCCCCAGGGGGGATGGTCACGCCGCAATCCCTTCTCCTCCATTCTCCTCTCGGGATCTTGGGCACGCACGCACACGCGCCCGGCGTGAGTTTTAAGCCACCGGGTCCGGGACGCGAACCACGGATGACTATGTGGGAGTCCAGCGACATAGCCATTACACTAACTGCTGGTCCCAAGGAAGACTCATATTTTGATCCTGGGAGAATCATGACCAGGAGAATGATGGTGCTATTTACAAAATGAAGGTGATTATAAGCCAGTTTGCTAAGCAGTATAACAAATTTGAATTGGGTATGAGCTCCACTCCTAACAAGGTACAAAGAAATTTCATATGCTTCCAGAACTTCTCTTAATCTGTAACATGGCAAATGAATGACCTCTACCATCCCTTCCAGGTCTAATATTGTATGATTTCAAGATTTCCAAATAAGTGATCTTGTACCTTGAAGTATATTAGAAAGTATCTTAAACTGAGAAGCGAACACCCCCATGAAAATTAGCTGGAACAAGCAGTAGATTGTTTTGGGGGGTATGAACAAGATGGCTGAAACCTTGAGGGGATTTTATTGTCAATATTTTATAGAAGGTCTTAAGGTTTATGAAAACAATGTGATAATGCCTCTGTTAAGGAAGATGAGCTCCGGCGATAAAGCAATTGTTTAGATGCTGGTTAATGGAGCAAGTCCAAGTTTGAACTTTGAAATGCAAACTTATGACCTTCTGGTACACTTAGACTACCTCGCTGCTTTTTTTCAGAAGGGGAAAACACTAATGCCAGGATTACTAGCAATATTCATGCACTGGTGGCCTTAGTGCCCAAAGCTGATAGCTATTTTACCCAGAGGTGGGTTTGAGCCTCCCGACATGGCCATTACCACTTGGCTATCAAAAATTGTTCTTCCTGGAGGGGACTGAGGAAGAGAAATGAGTTCTCACTAAGGGTTTAACTCAGTCTCTGGAGAAAGACTATCAGTCAGCTTTCTTTGATTGCCAGAGCAGTTCTCTTCAGCCTTCTTCAGGCTAATGAGTTGCACAGTTCCAGATGCCTTAAACTCAGCCCCAGTTGCTCTCTCCTGCCCACAGGAAAGCACCCCTCCTTTCTCTTGCAGAAGTTTATGGGTGAAACCACATCTATGACTTAATAACACAACGATGGGACACATAGCATCTCTTCATCCTTCCCTGGGCACGGTCAGCTGAGTTCTGTTACAGATGGCAGACCTTTTCCTCAGCACCAGCTGGGGAAATGCAGAGAGAAAAAAATTACTGTCAGCAGGTCTTAGATGGAGAGACTTGGATCTCTAGCTGATGCAAGAAAATCCCAGAGCTTAGCAAATTCATTTGGGTTTTGCCACCTTCTAGATAGGGGATTTTGGCAAATGTTTAATCTTCCTACACTGCTTCTTCTCATGCAAAGCCAGCAACTACTTTCTCATAGCCCTCATCTGAAGAACTGCCTCTGAAAATACTGGTTACTGGGACCAGGAGGTGGTGTAGCAGTTATGCCTCTGGACTCCCACACAGCCGACCACTGTTCGAGTCCCAGACCCAGTGGCTTAACACTCACACTGGGCATATGTGTGTGTGTGTGTGTGTGTGTGTGCCCAAGATCCCAGAAGGAGAGTGAAGGAGGACTCTGGCATGGCCATTCCTTCTGGGGAATGATTTCTCACTTTCCCTCTCACTGTATTTTTCTCTCTCTCTCTCTCTCTCTGGGGAGCACACGTTCCCTAAGGCAAAAACCTCTTAAAAAAAGAAAATGCTGGTTATTCAGCTTTTTCTATGGCACCAAAATGTTAACAGTAGATATCACTGGGTCATTGACATATGGATCATTTTTTTATTTTATTTACTTACTTCTTTAAGACCTTTTGCATTTTCCAGAATGCCTATAGGGAACATAAATGATTTGTTCCTCTCTCTTTTTTTTAAGAATTGTTTTTATTTAACTTTATTTATTTATTTATTTTTATTTGACCAGAGAGAGAGAGAGAGAGAAAGTAAGAAAGCAAGCCTCCAGGTCTGGGACTCGAACTGCAGTTGGTCATGTGGGAGTCCGGTGCCCCTAGCCACCATGCTACCTGCCAGCCCACCTTTTTTTTATTTTTTAAGAGAGATTTTTGCTATAGGGTGTATGTATTCGTTGGTGAGACAGAGAGACAGAAAGTGAGAATCACTCCCCTGGGGAGATCACCAACCCACAATCCCTTCTCCTCCATTCTCTTTTCAGGATCTTTGGCATACACACACACCCAAACACACACACACACACATACACACTAGCCCAGTGTGAATTTTAAGCCACCAGGTTTGGGACTCAGACCACAGTCGACTACATGGGAGTCCAGCAACACAACCATTACACCATTTGCTGGTCCCAAGGGAACATAAATTATTTCTACCATAGAAAGAGCCAAGATTTTCTGTTTGTTTTATTTGTTTCAAAACATAAATACTGAAAATTTTCCTTAACTTTTTTTAGAATTATTTATTTTTATTTGTTATTATCATTATTAATTTAACCAGAGAAAGAGAAAGAAGGAGAGAAAGCAAGTGAGGAAGCAAGTCACAGGTCCAGGATCTGACCTGTGGTAGGCCATGTGTGAGTCCAGCATCTCAACCACTGCACCACCTGCCAGCCCCAATTTGTCTTTACTTTTAAAGGTGTGTTGTTGACTGTTGAGATTCTTTAAAAAAAAAAAAAAATTTATGTATTCATTCACTTATTTTAATTTGACCAGAGAAAGGCAGAGAGAGAGAGAGAGGAAAAGAGAGAAAGCAAGCCACCAGGTCCAGGACTTGAAATATGGTTGGCCATGTGGGAGTGTCCAGCACCTTAACCACCACGCCACCTGCTGGTCCCGACTGTTGAGATTCTTTACTAAGTTGACAGGTTAAAGGTGGTGTTTTAGTTATAAAACTAGGTCCCCATGAGACTAATACAAGAATGAATCTCACGCCATGATCCATGAGATGCCCCCATGATCTTAGTTTCATTTCATTCTAGACAAGAATTGGGCTTTTTGATAAGGCTCCCAAAATAGGAGTGAGACCCTCCTCCTGCCTCTTGCAGAAAGACTTGGGTTATAAAAACCTGAGAGAACAGCTTCCCTTCATCTCAAGGTCTTCATTATCTGAAAAGAACATCTTTGTTAGAGAAGATGTAAAGGGGATAAAAATAATCACCATATGAATTCCTGGATTCAGAAAACCTAGACTGCTCCACCAAGATATTTAGCTTAAACCATTTATCAAATTATATATCAAAGAGCTGCTAGGATGAAATCCCTTCCAAAAGTATGATTCTAATCAATGCCTTCAAGCAAATCATGTGATAGAATATTTTGCTTTCATAAAAAATAATTTACTAAACTTAAAAAACTATAGGTATTATTCAGAATATTTTATTTTTCCACAATATTTCAAAATGTAATTAGGTTTGCCTTATATGCTCTGATTTCTCACCCTATTAGAATCAATCATGCAATCCAAAATTATAACCAAAGGTCGAGATTAAAATTTCACTCAAGTACACAGACAAAATGCTGT